GGTCATATTCAATCACCAAATTATGCTCGTTCTCGGGCGCCCTGTATTGCCAACCGTACGGACACTTCTGAGTGCCCTTCCAGTGGTTATAGGCGTCGATATACATCACACACGACTCAAATGTCTTCATTTTATTTTCCTGCCTATAGAGCGGATACCATTCGCTTTCGCTGATAGTGGCGTTCAGACCGTTCAGACCCGACACCAGTGCCATCGCCGACGAGGAAGAGCTCTTGATTAGGCAACGATGTGGCGGCTCTTCCGCATAGTATTTCCAGAGTTGATCCACGAAAGCGACCGGGAATTGGAGACAACAAAGGAGGAATGCTATGAATATCTGATACCGACCCGGACTTCCCAAATGTAATAACACGTAATCCAGTGGTGATAGCATTGCATTAAGTTTTCACTTTTTTAAATTTATTAATTTAATTTGCTTTTCAATCACTTTTGCACATATTTTGAATGTATTTTTGGCAACTTTTCGTTCGCCTGTTTCTTTGGTCAAAGGATTTCTAACATTAAGTTCCCAACACTAACGGATCGGTAAGAAATCCATCGATGAATGCACTTCTGTATCCCATAATACAGAATAACTGAATAATAATAATGTCTATTAAGAGATGTATAACACGAAGACGTGATGTAGTGATGATGTTTAGGTAACACGAAAAGACAGTATCAGTCAACTACTGGTCTTCAATATGTGACCAAAACGAGTAAAACACATGATATGCTAACAAAACAATTTCCTCACAACACTTGTGGCACACATTTTTAGTGTTTCTTTTTTCTTAGAAAATTGTATTTTATTCTCAAAAACAGGAATACATTACACACTAATCAGAGAAATAATTGGTATTTTTCTCATAATTTTGCACAAAACTCCAACTAATTTGATATCGTTTTATATCATTATAACAACGAGTGGAGAGAAAGAGAGACAAAAATTTAAATTATAATTTGCTTGTTTCGGGTCATTGTCTCGACTTTTTGGTAGCGTTGCATTCATTCACAAAATGCAATCCGTATTGAAATACATTACTTATAACATGAAAAAAACTAATATTTATCTCGAAAATGTGAAAACAGAAAATGAAACAGAAATTTATAGATTATATATAAATAATAATATTTTGCATGAATTGCTTTCCTAACCAATTCTCTCTCCAGAAATAACTAATGATAGAAAAGTTGTTTCAGAAAAAGTTTGGTTCAATACTACAAAACTCTTTACGCAAAACTCCACCTGAAATGCACTCAATTATGAACAAAATCAGTGCTCATTAACCGTATCCACAGTTCCCTCTGTAATAATAATAACGCCGTTCTCTCTCTCTCTCTCTCCACTCGTTGTTATAATGATATAAAACGATATTCAAAACGGATTAATAAATTATATTTTTAGTTTATTTTTTGTTAAGATTTCCTGATATTTATATTCTATTATATTATAATCACTATTATTTATAACAACGAGCCTCTCTCTCTCTCTCTCTCTCTCTGTCGTCAGTATATCATACGGTTTAATACCGTTCCCACAAAATAGTCGTTTTATTCACCGAAAAGCTTTTATTGTAATAACAATATTGTTATCATTTTGGAAACTCGTTTACCGTATTTTACTATTCGTATTGTTTTTTCATGTCAACATTTCAACATATTTTTGGCCAAAAACCTCTCAAATGAGGAGTGAGTGCGAGAGAGAGAGAGAGAGAGAGAGAGAGAGAAGTTATATAATAGTCTGTAAACTATCTTTCATTAAAATCTTAGTCCTGTTTTTTGGATCGCATACATAATACTATTAACGCTTCAAATATTATTGTGTGACATATTGTGGTCTAATTGTTTAGAAGAAATAAAATAAAATAAAAACACACTTTAATTTCATAATACAATTCATAAAAGCGATTGTCACTCCAGTTAAGGACATCTAATATTCATGCCATTCAAGTGATAATCGTTGGACTCAAACGCAAAGTTACGCCCGCTTTTCATAATTAAATAATTTTTTATTTTTATATAACATTTTATAAGAAGAGGTGCGGCTCTGGTTTATATGCAAACTCTCCTCAAAGACTATTGTTTTCTCTCAACTATCTATTAGATGCCAATTAGTGCAAAGCCCTATCTCTACCATCCCATCAACTATTGCTTACAATTTTCTTCATACAAATTGTCAATCATTTAATTTTTAATGAATAAAATAAACTTTGAATTAAATTTCTTTACGTCTAAAGTGTTTAGAAAAAATGCGCGAATATTAATATATTTGGTTTGACATACAATGGCAACACTATTAACGCATAGATAACGATCTCATTGCTATGATTTTAAACTTTGTATTAATTAATAAGTTTATAAGATTTTTAATTAACTTTATACACAACGGATCTAATTAAAAGTAAGGGCCAACATTGAACATAAGTTTATCAGGGCGGTATCTAATAAATGTAGTGAACCAACATTGTCAACTTTCCATAATGTTAGTTTTAATTTATAATAAGCATTTCAATTGTATTAATAGTATAAACCAAATTTATTATTATAATTAAACAAAACATATTTACTAATTTAAAACAATTATATTTATAAAACATAAATAAATATTTTGCGCTTAATTATTTTCAAATATTAAACATATAAAACATAAAAATAGGAAAAAATTACAATTATACATAAAAAGTTGAAAAATGATAAAATTGGATAAAAATTATCCCCAATTTGTGGTCCAACTGTTAATCCTATTGGAAAGACTACTAAATAAGTTACTAATGGGCGCAGTGTTGGTTAGATCAGATGTGACGGCCTGTGCGTTGGCCTGACCGCGACGGGACGGCCACGTGGGCCACGAGTATTGGTGCGGCGCTAATGGGTCTGAGGCGAGAGTTATGGTGTGATTGGGCCGCAGAAGACTACTAAAACCGATGGCCGGCGGGGAAACACTTGAGGAGAATTGCAGTTTCGATGGTTGCGATGAGGAGGAGATGGCCGGCGATGAGATCAAGAGTGCATTGTTATTGTTGTTGAGACTACTGAGCAGAGAGGGTGGCCGTAAAGTACCGCCGCCGCGGATTGACTGGTGCTAGAAATGATTGTTTCATCTTTATATACAATGACTTTTTTTAAACATAAATTTACACATCCAGAGAAACCCCGAGATATCCGTCACCAGAAATACAAGTCATAACAAAATTTACGATAATATCATGCGATTATTAAGTGATTAGTTTTTGTTGTTAAATAACATGCGATTTGTATATAATTAACGGCAGACAAACACAAATGAGCAGTGCATTCACACAATTATCAACGGCATTGTTATACATCCATTGCTTGGACTCTAACAAGTTTGCAAACTTTTCCTGGCCGTCAGTGACAGAGGGTATCGTCACGTAAATGTGTTTATCACCAGTTAATCCGATGCTTTTAGTGGTAATATTGGGTGCATTTGTTTGCCGATTGTTAGTGGGTTTAGTGCTGTGCGTGGCGTTTACTGACACCGAGTGATTACTTACTACGAGTCCAATGGGTGTCAACTGAACGTTGAGGATAGTTATGCGGCCCTCCTCTACAGTGAACTGCTGTTCGAGACTGTTATACCCGTCGGCCGTAATGACCAGAGTGTAGACTCCGGGCAATAATATGCGCCAAAATTCGCCCCGTTTTGAGGACTTGAAGGCAATGTCTCGCTCTTTAATCTTAAGCGTAGCGGTGGTGATGGCGTTGCCGTTCACGTCAGTGATCATGCCTTTGACTCCCCGATGCACTTCACCCAAGTATAACAACAGCGACCGCTTATTCTCGCGCCAGTATCGGCCCAAGTCTTGTCGCGGCGGGTATTTGCAACACGAGAGCTCTAACGTAATCTCCAGACACGACGCGCGGATGTAGTTATAGTCTTGCATTCCGCCTGTGTTTGTGGTCATAGAAATGCATTTTTATATCAATTCAATTAAATGATGTAATCTATGGTTTACCAGTCAATGGATACCATTGCGCGCCATTAGTGGTTCCGTTGACAAAACCAGTGTTACTGCCATCGGGACAGGGATGGCCCAAATGCATAGTCAAGTGATTCAACGAATACACTGACGCCAAGTGTTTGAACACATCGTTATCTGGTGTCCGACTTTCACTCGAGTGAAGTGTAAATTGAGATAAGACTGCAATTATGGCGAGTAATTAGTAATTATTTAATGAACGCTTGAATACATTTTATCAAAATTGTAATATTCTTTAAAATTAATTCAATAAATATTCTTCAATTATTTCCTCGAAAGATATGCGAAAACATCACTTTCTTTCGCATTCAAAATCATCGTTACATTCATTTATATTCAGTGTTTTGTATATTATTTATTCACAATAATTAAGGATTTCCTGATTTGACTAACTGTTGGTTTGTTGTTATCAAAAGGAAAGGCTTTATAAAGGGGCGGTCAACTGATCTCCAGCATGCGGAAAACGCTATATCTCTTTAACTATAAGAGCTATCCTTATTCTGTAAAAAGCATTTAAGAGCCCCATATACGCAAGATCTATTGACCAACCTA